CCACCTTCCCTGCCCTCACGGAGGCTGTCTCGCCGAGATCCACGCACAGCTGCTCACGGCATCTGGGGTGAGAACGAAGGGGTCATTTATGGGTAAAACAAGATGGGTGTGTGAAAAAAGGGGGGAGGAAGATGGACAGAAGTACCCTCGCTATGTATTAGTAAAGTGGAAGAAGGGAAGCTGGAAAGAAGAGGATTGACTGGAACCCCTGGCCCCGTCCCAGTACAAACTGGCAGCTGGAGCCCACAGGACCTGGAGTGTGCTGATGTTTGGCTTAGTGTTGGGTAGTCCTGCGAGGAGCAGGGAGTTGGACTTGATGATCCTTATGGGTCCCTTCCAACTTGAGATCTTCTACGCTGCTATGACTGTTAAACCTCAGAAAACATGCCCAAACTTACTAAAAGCAGCCATGTGCCCGTCACCCTCACCCACACCCCCCTCCCCAGAGCCCCACGTCCCTGTTCCAGCAAACAGAGACCTTGCTGCCGCAGAGAGCCGGCTGCAGCCAAGTCATTTTCTCTTTATCTTTTCCCTCCACCCGTAAAACGGGGGTACTGCTGCTGCGGAGAAGGTCGTTACGGAGCCTTGCCGAGGACTGAACAGCTCTGAGAGAAAAAGGTAATCCCTCTGAGTACGGCCGGGTGCCCCTCCCCACCACCTCAGCCACACACCTAATTTTGGAAGCCCTAAACTCATGCTCCAACCCGCTCCCTCCCCGTGGGACTGCTGCTCAGGGGTTGTATCGATGGTAAGGAATGGAAGCAGAACCAGGTGCCGGTGTTTTATAACCACCCAAACTCATCCCACCAGCACTCAGAGCTTCCATGCTGCTTTGTGCCTCAGTTTCCCCTTAAACAAAAGCAGTTCTCCACCTCAGAAGGGGCTGAGACTCAGTATTTCACTGTCATTTTACTTCTGCTGAAATGATGAAAAACGGCGTAGCTGTATGCAGAAAAGGTCACTAAGCTACCAAAGCATAGACAGCTAGCCTGCTAAGGTCCTGACTGCTTTGGGTTTTAATTTATGATCACTTTGCTGCTTATTTTAACAAAGGCACAAAACCCACAAAGCTCTCAGTAAGCATTTAATTAAAGCTTAATTACTATAAATATGTTACATGTGCAAAGCTAGCAGGTGCAGCCAAGGGAAAGAAGCGCCTAGCAGTGTTTTTCACATAGACTATAAATCCTCCCTTTCAAAACTGATGTTTTTCCAGGAGAATTAAGAAACCACTTTAAGGTAGGTCTTGAAACCCCAAAGAGCAACAGGCTCTCACAAAGACTAAAGAGAAAACAGACTAGGAGTTACTCCAACTGGCAAACGTAAATGAAAAGTAAGTGCACACACACCCACTCGCCTGCGTTACTCCTCACGCCTTAACAGAAACGCACAGTCACAACGCGGCATTGCAGGCTAAAGCGACAGTCAGATGGTCTTACGCTTAGAACAAAACTAGCTTCACTGCCCCATCAGCTATGTTAAAGCTATGGCAAATGCCCCCAGCAATGGGAATTACAGCGTAAAAGCTTCCTTTGCTCATGGGAACATGGTCGCAGCTGATCGGTCCTTAGCCCACCACCCAATTACAACCTGGACCTGAACTCCCTCTCACATAAAAAAAAGAACCATAAATGAATCCATCCACACTTCAGGAAAAGTTTGAAACAAGAAAACAAGCTAATTAAAATAATTTTTTTAAAAAAGGAACACAATTCTTTCAACAATATTTTTATACCAAGTAAATTACTGTAATGAAGTGTTTTTCAAACACCAACACCAAAATTAAAGACCAGGCTGAAGTATTTGGCCACTTCCCTTTACTTTTATAACCATCACCACAGCAACAGCTGGGGGTTCAACGTGCTGGCAGCACGTGTTGGGTGTTTGTAGTGCAAGAGAGAGCCCCAGCTGCATGCCAAGGCAGACACCGAGCGCAGGGGACACCAGGAAACAGAACAAACTCCTCCAAGCTGCTGAGCAGGGACCAGAGCGGATCCCAGGCGTGCCGGTAGCCCAGTCCCTCTCCACTGGATCACAAAGCACCCCAGGCCAAGAGGTGCCAAAGCGAAGCTGCACTCACGCTGCGCGTCGGTGTTTCAGAACGGGACGCTCTGCAGACAAAGAGGCCAGCTGGGACTAGAAATGCTCCCTGCTTGCAGAAGAGCAATCCTCTGGAGCACGGGCAGTGGGAAAGAAAGCCCTGCCCGGAGCTGGAGCTGCAGCTGCTCGAAGTGTCAGTGCCTCTCCCAGGTCACAGGACGCTATAAGGTTAAATTCACCTGGATTAGGAGCCTTTGGGAGCCCAGGAGAAAGGCTGTACCTCAGTGTGACGTGAAGCTGTGACCCCGCTCCTTCCCAGCTATGCACCAGCCTTCCCTTTGAAACCCATCAGTAGAGATGTACCAGAACACTTCTCAATGCCTTGCTGCATTTTGGTTACACGATGTTTTCAAGAGGAAGAGAACGATCATTGTTTTGTTGTAAAAACAAAAGACAGACCCCAAACTTCCCTGACGGCACACAGGATTTCATCTTGCAGCTGATGGCAGCTGACAGAAGTCATTAATGCAGTGCCTCTGAAATTGAATTAAACATATGGACTGTAGCTGTCTAACTGGAAGAGTGAGGGCTCTGAAAATTAGGAAGCATTACCAAGCTAAAGGACAGGCCACAGAAATCTCCAGCAGCACAGCAGAGACTGAGAACACAGTTCTCTGAAAAACAACTTTGGAAAGAGTAATTTGGGGCTGAAGGCTTACTTTTTCTTAGCAGTTCTAAGCTGAAAATACTCATTCTGGTTAGCAACGTCACAGCCCCCTAAAGCCACGCTGAGTAACTTGCGCAGGTATCAGCAACGTTAAGAAAAGAAGTGGTGACAGAGCGAGCAGGTTAAACAAAATCAAATGACCTTGTTCTTGCCGCAGGCTAACAATACGTGCAGATCCTTGCTCAGCTGGCAGCACCTCGACCATCTCTGAGCCACTCCTTACCTCTCCTCTGATGTGCAAGCCCGAGAAAGACCTCGCTCACCTGCCCCGGAGGCTGTTGGACCGACGGGCTACGAACCAAGTCATAACAACTTATAACCCACCAAATCAGCTGCTGCGGCTAGATAAACCAACTTTAGATCATTGCTCTTTACAGAGGGACCACACTCAAAAACCAAACCAAAAACCTGCATCCTACTGTGACACAGAGTTAAGTCATATTTAGACTAGTTCCTACCTAATGTATGTAAGAGGATTGCGAGAGATCCAGAAAACCAGCAAGCACTCTGCATTTGGAAGGGAAAAGTTAATAAACATTTAAAATTCTGCAGGCAAACCCGTGCCACTGAGCCAAAGCCATCAGTTCCCCAGGCTCTGCCTTCTCCACGTCCACAGCCGACCCCAGGCACAACGCCCAGCTCTGCTGGCTTTGGGTGAAAAAGGTCACCCTGTGGACTACGTCTGCGAGCAAACGATTTGTAGGGGATTTCAAACGCTCCGTGTGTCGTGTTCCAGCTCAATACATTTCCCAGCCAGCAGTGAGACCCCACTGCGGACATTAAAAGCCAGGAACGGTACAGAGGGCCAAAAACGCATCCCGCACAACCCCAGCGCTATCAACATGAGTTGTTACACCAGGGGTAAGTCTTGCTTGCACTTATGTTCGCCTCCATGAAGTATCCAATCACTCTTCCACTATATTGCTGTAGACAGGTCCTACCAAGCTTCAGAAATTCAAGGACTTCTTAATTTTCAATTAAAGTCGGTATTCATTCAAAATGTGGGAAAAATAAACACCATTTGCCCAACACGGCCAAAAGTGCTTTTTTTGCCGGGTACCCAAATATGACACACCGCTGTTATTGCTCGGCCAGCTGTAGGCTGGGTGCTGAACGCTTTTCACCGCCTAGATGTTTTCATTAGCATTTCTACCTGATTTTAGGTAATTACTGTACCACGAACAGCCTTTCTCCCTGTCTCCTCTCAGCCTTTGCAACTGGGGAAGCCCTGTTCTGCTCCACCAGTCACTTGGAATGGTCAACAGTCGTCACACTCCATTGCTGACCATTGTCCACGGGCAAAGGTGGGAGGCTCCAAAGCCCGTCCCTCTGCGGCCGGGCAAACAACAGGGCCCGTTGCTGCTCGGACATCAAAGTTAAACAAACAGTCCCAAGCCCCCGCCTCTGTGCCCATCTTAAGGAGCTCCCCAAGGAGGTCACGACTTTCATCTTGTCATAGCACACATCAAAGTTTGCACCACACACGAACTCGGCACATGGATTCGAATCGTGTCGCCCGAGAGCGGATATTCAGCTTTTGTACGTTGCTTTAATCCTGTGTTTTCCCAAGTAATTAGGCTTTTTTGCTTATGAACTTGTGACTAAGTAAAGCATCCCTGAGAGGTTGTAACATCAAAGCTCATTCTCCCGTCTGTCCCACGTTTTCCAAAATTGGATTTCTTTTTCTCTTTTTTCCTTAAATAAAAAACTAATTGAATTTAGTTGTAGACTGAATATATTTAAGAGTGTCTTTAAAAGGTTACAAGAAGCCACAGTGATCATCATGGGAACTAAGGAGGGAGGGCACAGCATTCAGACTTTTTGCTTCATAAAGGCCTAGCATGAAAGGCCCAGCAATGGCCCCACAAGCGAGGAGGGACGCGGCAGCTCTGACGGGAGCTACTTCTGATGGTGGGGTGTTAGAGTACCTGCCACAGTGACATCCCATGGTTACTGACTTACCGGAGGCCAAAATCTGAGGGTTACTGTGGAACGGCATGGTCAATTCAGCAGTCACCTCTCCGGGACTGCAGAGCAGCCTACCTCGGTCTGTCACGCAACGTACCGGGCAAAGGAAGAGGGAAAAATCTCCCTCGGGTTTGGCTCGAGAACACATCCCAAACCAGCCCAAACTTTACGGAAACTCTGTGGAGCTCAGTGTGACTTTACGAAAACCGGGCAGCAGTGAATTGACTGACTCGCTACGTGACGGTGAACGCCGAGACAAACCTACCTGGAGTTTCTGCTGATAGCTGCCACCATGAGAGCGGTCCAGCCAAGCTTGTGCCTCGCGTTCACGTCTGTGCCTTCCAGCAACAACCTGGACAGAAGAGAGACACGTTCAGGAAGAAAACACAGAGAAAGCGTTCCGAGCAGAATGGAGCAAACGACGGAAAGCAAAATATTTTACTTTGCAGGCATCTGCTTCAGTGCAGCCTAGAAGACCCAACATGAAACGTTGGTCTAATCCAGTTTCTCATCGGCTACCAAACTGAAACGAGCTGGTAGGTGACAACAAGCACGGTCCTTTCAAGTGGTGCGATGCCAAACGTCTTGTTTTCTTTATTTTTTATTTCTTTCTTCTATTCAGTCTAATACCCGAAGAACCAACCAGCAGCAAGATGGAGAGCAAAGCTGATTAACCTACAGTCTGATGGCAGGTTTGGATCTTCAGGCTGCAGCACAACCATTAGGGTTTCAGTAAAACCTCAGCAGATCTCCAAAGCCCACGTCAACAGGAGATATTTTGCAGTTTTCTTGCAAGACACGAGAACAAACAAGACAAACCCAAAAAATACGAGGCATCAAACTACCCTTGGTGCTTTTCCTGCACAATTTTCTCAGCCTTTGCACCGTATCCCTAATCCCTTCCTGGCACCTCTTAGCAACTTTGCTCCTACACAGCTTCTGCTGGCTTGTACTGTGATGTTCTTTGGGCTCTAAAGCACCAGAAGGCTTCTCTACCCTTTCCACATCCTCTGATCCCGCAGCAACAACACTACTACTCTTGGCACCAGATTCCAAGCAGTACCTCAGAACAGTGATATTTCATAAAGACAAACTTACTCAACCCTTCTCTCTTTCCTGGGCCAACCGTGGCAGCCAAACCACGTCCTCTCGCCAAGCCCACGTGAATGCCAGGAGCCCAGCCCACCCCAGCTACCTACGCTTCCCCCCTGCTAAAGGCAAGGGAGGGGTCCTTGCAGAAGCTAATTCAGCTCATCCCAAAATACGTGCCAAACCCAGACGGTACGCACTGACAGTCTGGAAGGGCCAGTCTCCCTGCAGATCACAAGGAAGGAGGGAAGTTCAGACTTCAGACACAAATTTTAAAGCACTCAAGCTAAATGAGATGAGACAAAGTCTGAACCCTGCATGTTCAAGCCCACGACTACAAACCCATTTACCCCCCAAAGAACAAAGTGCTGCTGGTATCAAGCCAGGGCAGCCATGGGTCAGGCTTTAGAAAGCAGGGAGGACTACGCAGGGGTCACAGCAGTTCTCTCCCCCTCGGCTCATCCTTCTTTCTTTTCCCAAACCAAGGCTTTTCCATCTTCCTTCCCCGGTGAGGCCCTTCTGGCACAGCACATCCTCCACGCAGGTGTAACAGGGAAGAGCCACCATTCACCTCCCTGCTCTGAGAGACACAAGTGTAAACACAAGCCCTGTTTCACACATGAAGCATTTAAAGTATTTAAATTTAAATCACACTTTAAGTATTTAAAATGCCCTGCAATCCACAGATAAGGAAGTCGATGGCAGCCGTGGCTGCTTGCACGCACTGAAAAAGTCAGACCACTTCTGTAAGGAATTAGAGGTACGCACCCAAATTTGGCCACCCTTTTCAAATTAATTGCCCCCAGCCTGCTGTGGTGGTAACTCTGTCAGGTGGTTAACAGAGAGCGCGGGGACGGAAGCAGTGAAAAGGAGCTACACGCACCGTATTCCTCTTCCTACAGCTGGAACAAACACAAAGGAAAGCACGAACGCCAGCCCAGCGAACGCCCACAGCTGTACACAAGGTCTCTGCAAACCTTCCTCCACCTGGTCAAAAATCCTCACAGCGGTTTCACTAAAAACTTATCCCAAGGAACAAATATACTCGTATAATTCTAAAGTTATTTCCAACCAGCAATACCAATGCCTAAGCTTCGGCTCCGCTGACCTGAGAAATGAGCCAGGTAACTGTCATCCGGATTCGGTGCCCAAAATGATCCATGGCCCCCTCCAGCTGAACTTTTTGCCCGATCAGACTCTGAGGCTGTGGGGGCACGAGAGGCAACAGGGGGATGACTCCAGCCAAGCTCTACATAGAAGCACGTCGGGTAACTCTTCCCACTCAAGTGGAAGTATGATACGCAGGTAACGGGGGCCGGTGGGTAATTTGACCACCCTTTTTTGACAAGAGGGGTAGGCAGTGCTGGTGCCCTGGTACTGGATGCTCTGAACTGCTCATCAGGCACTCGGACTGAGATCCAACAGCTAGAAAAGCAGACTAGTACCTGGCAGCCTTTGTTCGTGGCTCCCAACTGTGGTTCAGGAGGCCATGACCTCTGCAAGTGATCCACAGCACCAACCGAAGATTGATGTTCTCTTTACCAGGGTTACAATTAAAAGTTTAATGATAATGAACTACTTGCCAGGTAAACAAGAGGTTCTTGCTCCAAAAAAGTTTGATACTTGATACTACACGGTAGCAGAGGAGGAAATCTTCACGCAGAACCCTTAGCAGATCTGCCCATCACGAACTCTGGGCAGGCTGCAGCTCCTGTGTTATCCAACTGCAAACCACAGCCTGGGGTGCTGCACAGCACCAGCCTTGGCTCCCCGCAGGACATGCCCTTATGCATTCTCCTTCTTCCAGCACCTAATCACTGAAAGCAAACGACAAGAGCGTGCGGCCAGCTCTGCTGCCTGAAGAGCACTTGCAGACAGCAAATTGTTTAAAGGAGAAATACCCACGTGCAGCCACAAAGCTCTCCTGTCCCTGTAAGGCAGGATGATGGCACACAGATGATGGCAGGCTGTACTGGGGGCAGATTGCTATCTTTAGAGATCAGCTCCCATTGCAGCTCTGCATACGGAGGGTGTTTGCACTCAAAACAGAGAGATGAGCAAGTCTGACTCAGCCCCACGGCCACTGCTGGTCACAGCCATCACCTGCCCTTGCTTGGAGGGACGCTGCCGGCAGGAGAAATCCACACCACGGCTCCATCTGTGCCACCACGTGCACCTCCTCCTCCGAGCAGGCACCGAAACCTGCTCCTCCAGATGAAAAAATGGGGACCAGCTTCAGCCCCAGGTCCCCCAGGAACCACGAGGAGCCGTACCCACCTACACCAGAGAAGCGGCGGGAGGCCGAGCCCAGCAAGAGATGGGGGGAAACCTACACAGAGATCTTACTGTCTGCCCTCCGACCCGCCCCAGGGGCTCGGAAAAATCCTTTCACAGCCATAGCGATGCCCCGTCGCCTTCCGCTCTTCTCTCAGAGCGGTGTGGAAGGACCTGTAAAAGTTATTTTGGAATTTCATTTTATTTACTTGGCCATTTGAAAGTACTTTGAGCACAGAAACTTCCACCTCCCTCTCCTTCTACAGCATGACAATCTGACAGCCTAATAGCCACAGAAAATCCAGTAAATAAAAGAAAGGAAAATATTACTGCGACGGAGAGGAAGGCTGACGGGGAGAGGCAGGGCGAAGCCAGACATGAAACCTCCCGAGGTACGAAGGCATCAGCTAAGCAGGGATTAAGGCAGCCATAGCCCTTCAGGCTGGGAACTTTTGCCAGACAGCTCAAACCTCACCGCCCAACACCTACCACTTCTTAACTCCTTTAACGGGGGTTAATTAATGTAACTCACAGAGTATCAGCCCCATTTGCACTTGACCACAGTATTCATATGATTTAGCACTAAAGGTACAAACAGAGGGTCCTGGTCACCTTCCACCAGCCACCGGCTCGCTCGGCTGCAAAAGCTTGGTCTTACTTCAACAGGTCATGAATTTTTACGCTTGTTTTCTCGTGAATGGGAACTGCAGCTAAACACTTTGGCATCTCCTCGTGAGACAGAGGGTAGGACGGCAACCTTCACTTAAAGCACTCTGGAGCCACTAAAAACTACATTTTAACTCACTGGAAGGCTTTTTTTCCTACAGACGAACTGGAAGGGCATATTGAACAATGAATTATCTTCGTTCTTAGATAAAAAAATAATGAAATAAGATCCTAGTCAGCAGTCAAACCTGTTAAAACATAGTGCATCCAACAGGAAGGATGCTGGAGCCTCTGCTGCGGGATTCGATTACAGGCTTAGAGCTAAGATATTAGAATTAATCAAGTAGTTTTCCATTCAGGAATCTAGATAATCGTAAGCATCTGGAATGCCACGTGACCGAGCCCAGTGAGACAATTACTGGCATCACATCATCCAGCGTAATATGCATTGACATTTCATTTAGGAGCTGGTTTTTTTTTTTTAAATCATTGCAAGATGCTCAGCAACTTAACAGATTTTCTAGACAACTGAACTTTATGTTCAGGGTCTTCAAGCCTATCATTAATTTTTTCCCCGCCTGATTTAATGATATGACAATCGATAAAGCGACGACCACTGCTCAGACCCTAGACAGCCAAATGTATTTACCAGCAGGAGTATTTTTTTTAATTAAATAAAACCCTCTGATCAATGTTTAGGATGTTTACCCACATTTTAACCAAATAGGGTCCAGGACACTCACTCTTGCCTCCTAAGGAGCCTCTCGTGCATATACAGCGTTGTCAGCACCAGTTCCAGTGTTTCCCAAAAGACAAAACGGCCCTGGGCAGCAGTGGTACCGCCAAGACCCAGTCGCTAGAAGAACCTGGATAAAGCGCGGGGGATTTTTCTGTTGGGTGATGTGTTTGTATTCTAAGGATTTTAGAAACATTTTTTTTCTTTTTTTTTCAGGGTTTTAGGGCAGAAAGCTTGTCCGCTTCTCCACACAGACGGGGCATGCTGCGGGAATAGATTTTCCTGACAGGTTTCTAACGGTCAGAGAGGCTGTGAGCGAGCAGCGATGGCTCCCGGTCCCAGCCTCGGAGGGACGTCCCCTCTCCCTGCAGAGCCTCAGCTCCCACGGCAGCGATGGGGACCCTTCCCAGAATTGAAGATTTCTCTGGAAACGAGCAGAGGCTCTGGAGGAGCCCGAGGCCCGGCCAGCAGAACATCACCGGCTGCTCTGGAATTTGTCGGAGGAGCCCGGGCAGAGTGGCACCCACCGCTTTGTGCGTACGCCCTATTTTACCTCGAGACAGCAGCTCCCAAAAGCTTCAGCGCTTTGATCCATCCA